TTATTTTTATTAATGTCACTACGTGTTATTTTTATTAATGTCACTACGTGTTATTTTTATCACTACGTGTTATTTTTATCACTACGTGTTATTGTATTAAAAATAACTTAATCTTCTATTCAAAATGAATAACCAGAAGCAATGGTCAGCCTCGTGTTGAGGAATGTGTTACGATACTCATGTAAAAGAACGCAAGTGAACGTTATAGATATACAAGGATGTTAAACAGTTCTGCAAAATTCTTAATTTTTCTAGAGAAATGGTAACTGAAACTAGGCAGGATTAGAACCCGTGAGTTTGTTAACCGAGTACATACGTCAAACATTTAAGTTCCAGTGTCTTTAATATTGAAGTTCTCAGTTTTCACTTTCTGAATAAGTTAGAATATTTTCATCATCATAGAAACGTGTTTATATATACGTGCATAATATACGCTTTTACATAATTTTAAATCAACTTTCCTTGACGAAGAGAAATGTATTAAGGATTAAAAGCAATCGCGTTATTTTATATATTTTCACTCTTAATATGGTATAAAATCAAATGTTTAGAACTCACTTTGTTCTACAAACAAATACTGTTATCTTCTCCCAGGTATATGTAATGCAGTCTTATGTATTATTTCAGAATATGGTATAATATTCACTCCTTATTTCAAAACATTCAATAACGAGGGTCTCTGCCTTTGGAAAAAACGTAACAGAAAGGAGAAAAAGGCCACATTGGTAAAAGTGTTCATATAATTGAGAGGGTCAAGTACAAGATTGAAAGGTCTACTTTGTAAAATCCTACTGAAAAAAAAAGAACGGTTTAATTAGTCTTTAAGCTTAGACAATCCCCTGTGTACTTTGTAAAGAATTAATAATCGATACGAAAGATGAAAAACTGGAGCAACGTATAAGATACGGACTTTTAAAGTAAAAATAAATGGCCTTTTCATGAATCTGCAGAAACTAATGTTTCAACAGTTACATCATTACGAAAGACATATTGTACCTTAAGGCAATGGCATATAGAGAAGAAGAATATACCACAGAGCCCTTTGTCTTGTACTGCGTGCCACATTCCATCTTTTATATATTATTAATCGACACGAAAGATGGAAAACTGGAGCAACGTATAAGATACGGACTTTTAAAGTAAAAATAAATGGTCTTTTCATGTGCTGTTCTTGAATATGTTTCTTCAGGGGTGGTTCCCAATAAATTCATTGATTATTTAAATTTGTTGTCGACATTTAATTCAATGCCATTGTATTTAAGTTGTGTTTTATATTATTATATAATGTATTTTATAACATTCAATTATATTTTTGTTTGTACCCTACTTGTAATTATGATTGATATCTACATAAAAAATGAATTACTGATCGGAAACTGAAGGAAGTGTCATTAAAAAATTATATTACGTTTACATATCAAGGAAAAGCTAGGGTAAGATTGAACTTGGAAAAGGAAATTATTGAAATAAATTACTAATTGTGTCTAATAAAAATAGAGAAAAACTTGTTCAGCTTTGTTTTCCGATAGGACTGATTATAACTTATGAGTGAAAGCAAAAAATAAAGTAATAACATCCCAACCACATTATATCTGCTATATCCATTGCAGATGAGGCCTTTCACCAAATACAAGAGCTCATCAGGGAGGTTGACGAGAAACATTGTAGTGGTCAAGATGCTGTTTATATCATCATTCGCTTGAACAACAACTGTTTCGATGAAGTTAGAGACTATTTGTCCAAAATGTTGCTAGGATAAGCATAACAAGTTAAATTCAAAGTGTCAGTATTTGACAAAATTAGAGTTTTAAACCACCATCCATGTTGTATTGTGTAATAACATTAACTTTGACTAATTTATAAACACAGTGTTTACATATTGTACGTTATTAATTACTTGTTTGTTTGTAATTAAGTACAAAGATACAAAATGGGGATATTTGTGCTCTGCCCACCACAGATATCGAAAACGGTTTGTAACGTTGATCCGCAGACATGCCGCTGTGCCACTGGGGGGCTATTAATTACTTATAAAAGCATGTTACAAACATTT